ATAGGAATATATATATATATATAAAAAATAGGAATATTTTACTGGAAAATAGGACCCTGAAGCCTGTGAAGCCTGAAAGACAGAGTTCAGTATGGTTTCCATTGGAGGTGACTTTCCCCTTTGAAGTAGGACTTGGATCCTGCGAGAAGTATATGCTCTGTGCTATAAACAGCCTGCAGCCTTGACTGGGTGGGGTTCTTGACTGCACAAGTTAGGCAAGATCAAGCTGGTGCAAGTGGAGGCTTTCTAAGGAAATGGAACGTAGAAGACAGGATTGGTTAGAATGGCAACATATAATACATTTCCAATAGGAGGTGCTGCAACTTGCAGCTGTGAACCTGAGCAGCATATGCCAGTTACAACACATTACACTGGTGCTTTACAAGCTCTTTTTACTACCCTTTGCTTTGGGGCAGAAGTTGAAACTCTTGCACCAATTTACTTGAGCAATGGAGGGGAGAAGGAAGACACATGGCTGTGTTGCTCGTTTTCATGCATATGGGAGAGACAGTGTAGCTGAAGGAGCTTTTGAAGAAAAGCTGTACTACAGTGGGGGAGCTGATCCAGCATTGGTAGCTTCATAGTAAAGGACAGCCTTTCCCTTTTTCCCCAGAAAACAAGAAACTAGCTTGAAGACAAAGGACTGTGTAACTGAACATGTAAGATCTCCCTCTGGATATGATGCTTTGCTCCATTTAATCTCTTCTGGAACGGACTAAGAGGACAGAGCTGCATGGGCATAGCTGCAGCTCTCTTTCGTTCAGTTTCCCGTCCCCAGTGTAAGCCCCAGCTCTGCTTTGTTGTCTCCTTGTTCTGCCTGGGCTGCTCCCTGAGAGTGCCTCAACTAGCCCCCCCTGCAATTTGTGCAGAGTGAGGAGGTTCATTTTCCTAGGACAGATTGCCACTGACAGTTTCTTAGCAGGCAGGATGTCTCCACAGGATTTCTCAGGCCACTTTTGATGCTCCGTAGTACAAAGAGGCCTCCATATACCTGAGAACTAAGGTTGCTTGGCCCAACAGAGGAGAAAAAAATACAATAGTTTGTATTTATCCCCAAAATTTGCTGTGTATCATTGTGAGGTCGTGTTTATAAATACAGACATGCACATTTGGAAGAGTGTGGGAACTCCATGTAAGCCAGTATTGGACTGCTGCCTCCACATGATGTCAGTAGAGAGTGTACTTTTGAAGCTGTCATTCCAGGGGAAATGTAAAAATTCTGGTCTTGGCAACAGAATTTCATGGCTAACGTCACAGGACTTTGGTGTTGACTCTTGAACCGTGATGTCAGTAGGACAGCGAATGAAACATGCTGCTCCCTCCACTCATTCTTCAGTTTAAGGTAGCTGTAATATTTTGTGTACTCTTCTACCCTATAATGGATTGTCAGACAACTGCTGTTTGCTCCTATGTGGCTGTATTTTGGTGGTGAGTGAAAGTTTCCCTGCACATCCTAAATCACTTTGTGTTGTGTTTTTTGTTTTTCCCAAAAATGTCATGAGTTCTCTTACCACATGGTAATGGTGATATTATTGCTGATAGGACGTAATATGGTGAGAATCTTTGCATAAGTGATCAGTGATTTACCCAAAGAAATTGGGAGCAGTGTGACCTCCAGCTCCTGGGGATGTCTTCTGCTGACACCAGGCTTCATGATGAAAACAAGATGCTTGTTTCTCTTTCCTTCCAGAGAGAAATGTACTAGCTTAGTTATGAGAACTGGTGGGGAGAAACAAGCCACTCTTTTTATTAGTGAGAAATGTGATAAACTGCAGCCACCCCCCTCCATCTAATTGTGCTGCTGTTGTGTCTGTCACAGGGCAGCATCCCCTGCCTAGCATCAGCTCATTTCTGCATTAACTCTTCAGTATTCATAGCGTGAATTAACAGAATTCCCAGAGATCTCTCTAATAAGCAAAGGCAATTGAAATGATTTATGGAAAACTTGCCAAAATCAGAAGGATTCCCAGGCCACTGAGCCCCTCACCCATCCATCTCCCTTTCCCCTCCCCTTCCACCAGCCTTCCCTCCCCCACTCAGAGAAAAGGCTCTGCCTTGTACATCCTGTGTGACAGCAGGAGAGAGGGAGCTGGAGATAGCGAGGAAGAGGAAGCCGTGCTGGGCTTGGAAAGTGCTGTATGCCATCTTCCGAGACCGCATCCGAGCCTGGAAGAGCAGGGAACCTACTGCTTGCAGGAGCACCTTCTCTTGGCTGTTCATTGGCATCTGCAGCAGGTGCTTGGAGTCTAAAGAGGGCAGAATGGGATGAGAAACACCACTGGCAATCCAGATTGCAGTCCTTGTGATGAAAATAACTGCGTGTGCAGCTGACCAAAATGCAGCATCAAGAGACAAACAACCTGAGAGGAAAACCAGCAAAAGCAAAATCCAGGCTGCGGAATTCCCTGACTCTGAAAATAAATACATGTGTGGGGGCTGCTGATCTGCCATCCGATGGTCTCTTGCAAAGACCCTGAGGGGTTTTTTGTTTCTGCTGTGAATCTTTCAGCTAATGTGAAGCGGTCTGGCTTGCAAATATTTCTCCAGTAGTTTGCCAGGAGCTGGTGTCTTCTGTACTGAATTCTGAGCATGTGAAGAGACAAGGCATGTCTGTAGCCAGAATCCTGAGGCTCCCTGGGAAACAGATTCTGTGAGGCGAAAGGTTAAAGTGGGATCATGGGAGGGAAGCAGGTCAAATGGTGAGCAATTGTTGCCATTGTCATTTGAAACAGCAGGGATGGGGTGTTTATTAAAATTACGAGAATTCAGACTTACCACTGGGGCTGTTGCCCTAAAGACTTGACTGTGCAGGCACTGGCAACTCTGGGACTCAGTGGAGAAAGGATATGGGTTAAGAAACCACTGGTAAAAGGAATAAAGTGGGACAGTTTGCATCATAAATCTGTCTTAAATAGCTTTAATTTCCCAGCACTTATTTCTGCATGCTTTAATCACAAATTGTTATGTACTTTGAAGAACAAATTACATCAGTGGATATTTCATATGTTAACAGGTTTGGTGACTGATACAAAAACTGTAGAAATGTTTCCAGCATTAACTTGATGGCATAATGTATGAGGCAACCTGACCTGTGCTACTGCTTCATCTGAGTGCATCTCAGTGGCTCTTTCACTGTTTGGCATGGTTTGAGAGGTTGTCAGTGATGCCATGTGAACCCACTGGCCTTTTAAAATAGGGAAACTGCCTGAAAAGAGGACTGTGGATATAGGAATGCCTAAACAATCATCTGTAAAACTGGCCATGTTGTGGAGACCTGTAGTGAACACTTAACCCCACCCCCCTGCCCCAGCTGGGATGCTTTGTATTTGCTTTGGGCTGTGGATCCAGTGCTGAGAGGAGCAGATTTTGGAAGAGGGGAATGTTATTTCCAGGCTCTGTATCCCTGTGGTTTTTGCCCTGCTCATTCTTTCAAGTTCCCTGCTCTTGCCCATCCCTCAGTTTCACCACCTTCTCACCCAACAGTTGCTAATATTGTTTTTCTAGGACAGCTCTCATTCTTTCATCTTTTGCATGGATGAGAACCAGCAATGCACTTCTCAGTGGCCTTACCAGGATGATGGCACATTCAGAGTATCAGCTGAGAATATGCGGGGGGAATATCGAGATCCGTTCCTAGAAGGAAGTAAAATCCCTCTCAGAGTTACTGGACATGTTAAATCAGCTGGGCTTCCTGTTTGTACCTGTGCTGTTTGAAAGTTTCATCCTTTCCTCTGACCCTTATTATATAATGCAAACCCAATAGTACTCTCTGGGCTCCTAAACAATTATTTTAATTTTATGCTGTGCACCCATTCAGTGACAAGCAGAAGCAGGGGGCTGGTTACAAATGTTGTATACAAAATGTGCCTAATCAGGGACTGCTGTAATGGAGTTAGCCTTCCTGAAGGTAAATCCTTGAGCAAACCCAGGTGGCCTGGACCCCTTTAACAATCATGCACACCTTGTTTGAGCCAGAAAGAACAGGTACTGGTTATTCTTTCACTTAGTAAGTTGCATTCACCTTTTCCTTTAACATGGTGAAAGTCCATTCAGTCTGGACCATTAAAACTAGACTGCTTGAAGGTCTGTAGTATAAATGAGAAGTAGGCCAGCAATGGCTGTGGGAGTAGACAGGAGCTGCTAGCAAGTCATTTCCATCTCTATTGCAAGGCTTTTCTGATTCTGTGAGAGCGCTGTGGAATACGTAGCAGCAGTGCTAGGAAGATGTAGAAGTCGAGCTGTCGAAGCCTCTTGTTTTTCTAAACCTATTATATTATTTCCACACTGTTTTCTTTTTGTTCCCTGTCCTTTGTTTCTATGTTGGGGAGAATGAAAAATTAACTCCTGCTCACGCTTGCAAGGATTAGTTCCTGCAACTTTAGAGGTACATTGAATGGGTCAGTGAGCTTCAGCCACCTTTTGATGTTGTCTGGGTGATACATTTAGGAAGAATTTCTGAAAAAAGATTGCTTGAACCTCACAGTCAGTTGAGATGGCTCCAGTGAAAAATATGTGGGTACTTTCAAGAAGTTTTAACCTAAAAACATGAGTGAGTGGTATCGGACTTTCAAAAACATTTTGCCCTTGGAATTTCAAGTTGAAGTGGTGCTTTTGAAAGCAAGAGCAAGAGATGAAGCAAGCCAGGGTGTTTTTTTGTTCAGCTTGCAGTATAAACATAAGGTTCACTCAGTAAACATACTGAGCAGACCTTCAGTAGAGCGTGGTCTTACCCCTGTGTGAATGTATGTGAATTCTGTGGTGGCAGTCTCAAACTTGCATTCTGTTAAGGAAAATAGAGACACATTGTGCTACTTGTCAGTTAGCTTGCTTTGACACTGTAGAGTGATGGAAACATGCCTAGTTTGGTTTGTTAATGGCTTCTCTAGTATGCAGATAATTCTTAGTTTCAACAAGCCTGCCTGCATATTCACTTTTATCTTAGATGAAGATGATGTTGATCAGCACTAGAAGTAACTGTTTCTCCTTTCCTCTGCAGTCTTGCATCGCCCAGTCCTATCCATAGTGCGAAGAGTGAATCTACTGTAGCCCCATCAGAGGAGAAGGAAAGACTTGTGATCATCCACACTGAAGAAACAGAAACTAAAACAGGTACCTTGCAGATAATGCTTTACAGCTCACACTTTCACTGGGATTTGTTTGTAACATAAACTTGCTGAAAAGTTCCCCAATGACTGAAATGAATATAGAGAATGTGATGCTGAGTATCTGTTCACATAAAACTAAATCCCAAAACTTTTAACACTACAATAATGCCGTAATATGGCAATGTCTATGAGGCTTGCAAAATAATGCTTGGGAAATAAAAAGCTCTGGAGAAGGATTAAGGTCATATATAATTTTCACTGTAGGGTGAATACTTTCATCACAGCCTCATTAGGCCACGTTGAAAAAAACACTTAAAATTCCCTTAAAGAAAGAGTCCATGTGAGCTTGTCAAGCCCATGATGCATAACTTGACTTTGCGTAAGGCTCTGTGTTTACAGCACATCTGTAGATAGGTCGAGTGGCTCTTTGCAAGGAATTGAACAGTTGTAGTATTGTTGTGCTGTTTGCATTGAGAAGCCATTACTGTATTGCCACAAATGCCCTGTGATATGGTCAGTTTACACTTAAAATTTTCATGCAGATTGAACGAAAGGTTTTCAAAGAAGTTCCTGAAGTGATTTTTTGTTTGTTTGTTTCTTTTCCTTCTCAGGAATGCAGCCTAATAATAACTCTTTCTGGTTAGCGTCCATCCCAAGAGCAAATGACAGAGAAGCTCTCCTAGGAAATGCTTTGCTGCTTCAGCCAGTGTAGTCCTGCTTCAGTGCTCCTTCAAAAGTATTTGACAGACTATCTCAGCGGATGAAGTAGCTGGCAGGCTGTGGCTCTTCCTTAAATTCTTGGCAGTACTGTGTCTGCTTGCTGCCCATACAGTAGGATATTGCAGATGCATGTCTACAGATGCACAGCAACTTGCCAGTTTCACTTTTGGTCAACTAGCTAATAAGCACTGCAATGATTATTCCTCATCAAACCTCATCCCTTCTTAGGGAAGGAGGAAGAAAAAAAAAAAAATCTACATTCCTGGGCCAGCCAGTGGATGATAGTTAACCAGTGATACAGCTTATGCTGTGGGGATCAGAAAAGGCATGCAAAGCTATTAAACTTGCTATTAAGAGAAAAGTCTTTTTCAGAATTAGGTGTGTTGTCCACCTTGAGAAGGCTATGTTATTTGACAAGTAGAAATACTATTTAATGTTGCCTTCGGTGGGTCCTTGGTGCACCCTCTAACACTAAGACATGCTCTTCAAATCCCACAGTTGCTTTTCTCCCCTCAGGTATTTTCTACCACACAATGCAATGCATTGTCCCCTGTGATGTGCTTTGAAATCTCCAGTACTGAGAAATCAGATGCAGCAAAGTTAAAGAAGGGGAAGGATGCTTATCTTTGATATATGTGTATGCGGGAAAACTTCCTTTGCATAAAGAATGAGTCATAAATCCTTGAGATTAGGCAAGATGTCACACCTGTAGCAACATCTGTGATACTGGCTAGAAGACATGCTGGTTTGTTAGTGATAGCTAGTGTGGACAGCAGGCAATTATTGTGTGGTGCAAGTCTTTTCTGGACTCTTCTGTCATGACCACATTCAGCTGTTCTCTCTTCCAGAAGAGACAGAATCTCATTTCCAGCCTGAGTGGCAAGCAGGGAACTCTGGGTCATATTTGGAGAATTCATGGGAGGAGCAGCTTTTGGAACAACAGGACCATTTGGAAAAGGAAATGGAGGAAGCAAAGAAGATGATTTCAGGTTTGCAGGTAATAGATTTTCTTCTCAGCCAGTGTTCCCTTCCACATGCATTTCTTTTCCCACTAGCTGTAGCTGGAAGACAGCTTATCTTGCAGCTAAGACACTGGCCTGGTACTCAAAAGAGTTGAATAAGAGTCCTGGTCCACTGAGGTCTCCTGGGGTGATTGTGCAAGAAGTCAATTGGTCTCTTGGGTCACCTCGGTTAAATAGGGACACTGGCTCTTCCCTGTGTCTCACCCTGTGGGATGAGTCCCTTCAGGGAAGAGTTCCTTAGGAATGAGGAATTATTTCTGATACTGTGGATAGTGTATATTGGCTGCAGCCAGCAGAGACCTTATCCAGCAACAGAATGCTACTGACTAAGCACTCTGACATCTTCCTTTCTTGCAATATTTAGGCTCTCTTGGCTTCTGCAATTGTGATTTGGTCCTGGTCACCTTTTCCAGAATGGAGAGTGCCAAAACCATCCTTTCCAATGTCCCAGATGCAATTCAGAAGACAGCTGGATCCAGCCACAGTCTTGCTTGTTTGATGCCTGTCCCCCATTATTGTGTAGCATGCTTAACCAAGAGAGCCCAGGGGAAGGAGGAAAGATGGCTACAACTTCCCCAGTCCCAGTATATTTACCAGGGTTTCAGAGAAAGGATTTTAACATTAGTCTGTGCAATTCAGACACAACCTTTTCTTTTTCTTAGCTCAGGCTTCTTCAAAAGTGTTGACATGATTTGAGGCTCTTATTCAGTAGGGAGGGAGAGAGAAGGATGTGGAGAGAGAGAAAGATTATATTGCTATGAAGACTGAAGGTCAGTGATATACACTAATAGTAATTTAGGTGTACTGTGAGAGGGCAAAGGGCACACTGAATGCAGGTAAGAACAGAACCACTGTAGAGCATCTAAAACAAAGCCTATGTTTAGAAGGTGATTATGCCTGTGTTGTCTTTTGATTGGAGTGCAGATTCTAGCTGGATTCATTGGCTTGGTGCCCTGTCTTGTGATGCTGTGCTAACTCCTGTATGTGCTGTCACTGTGCAAAGCACGTATGTTACTGTGCAAAATGCTAAAGATGCAGCAGTGTTTTTCCCACGTGCTGGGGTTGGGACTCCCCTTCTTCACCAGAGCATTTAGCAGTCTGCAGGTTTTGTTAGCAGCCTGAGAGAACAGAGTAGTCTTTCTGTGATTTGTGATCAGAAGTAATGCAGAGAGACAAGGAATGTCAGGAAATCAATCAAGATTCACAGAGCTGATCAGGGGTCACACAGGCTTGCATCAGTCTTTCAGTGAGCTAGGCTGAACTATAATATTTGCACGTTCTCTATGCAGCTATTTATTTGTGGGATCTTTTCCTTGCTGCCCTGTTGCAGTCCCTCCCTGAGCAAATGACCCTCAGCTCAATGTGTTTGACTCTGCATGGGGAGTAGAGCCCCTGATCCATATGGTAAAGACCCTGAACTGTCTCAGGAATATTCCTTTCTGTTTGTGCTGGGAACCGTACTGGCTTTGAATTGTAAATATTTATGTACCAGTAAACAAAGCAGAGATTGTGTGAGAAGCATAGGCAGCCAGGGCAGAGGGGGGGGGGGGGGGGGGGAGCACTTTCCCTGTGGACAATGGGCAGGAAAGAAAAGAGTAAAAAAAAAAAAAAAAAAAAAAAAAAAAATTGCTTGGTTCATTGGTAAAATCCGTTTGCATTATGTGCCCACGGGGAGGAGGGAGAGGCAGCACTGGAGGGACACTGGACCCTGTTCCTCCAACCCTGGCCCCATGTTTCAGGAGTGAGGGTGAGCAGCTGGCATTGCTGCCCCCTCATCCCCTGGGAGTAGGAAGACGCAGCTGATGTTGCCAGCCAAGAAATTGGATTTGCTTAATTGATTTTCCCCCTCTTGCTCAATACTTAAGAGCCTCCAGTTCATGAGAGTCTGATTGAAATATCAGGGACCTGATGTACACGTACCCCATAAGGTGCTAAAATCATGGCAGCTTTTTATATTCCTGTGTGATTCCTGCTTGAGCATCCTGCTGGGGAGACTTTGGGATGCACTCAGAAAACAGTTTTCCAAATACCTTGTGCATTAACTGAATACAGATTGTTATTTGCTATTCGGCAGCAGCTGCAGCTCTTTGGTGGAAGATTCTGTCAGCAGGCAGAACCTGACCTGTCAGTCTGGAAGTCTTTTGGGGCTGAACTGGAGTATTACTGCAAATAAGATGTTTTGGTTTTAGCCATGGAGTTCAAGTAGAAATAAACTAGAAAGCTAACTGAAAGAAAGAGGCGTGACTCTTTCCAATGTGTGCAGTTGTATGCAACATCCTGGCACATACCAAGTGCCCTGAGTCCTGGAAGTTGTAGACAGAAAGGTCAATGTAAAAACCATCAGCTAGAGAAAAGCAGTATGGTATACCCTGCTGGAGATCTGGCCTGGTCCTGCTTCCTACAGTGCATGCTTTTCCCTCCTTCAGGCTGGATTCAGTCTACTGTGGGAATTCTGGCATCTTCCCGCAGACATCTGGGCTACCTTGGAGCTGCTGAAGGAGTTAATACTGTGCTTCTAGTAGCCTTCCTCAAGCACAGGGCATAGCTTAAGATTTTCACTGTCTGTGTGGGTAAGGGCTCTTCCCTCACTTGGACAACAGTTCTGAATGTGTCTCGGTCTTGTCTAGTGTAGAACAGAATTAGGCTTTCCTGAACATCCTGTTTCTAAAGCCTTCTGTAGATGTGTGGTTAGGAGAATGGATTCTTTCAGCAGGGGACACTTCAGTCTCATTCTGGAAGAGAAGCCTTACAGTGTAAACCTGGTTCAGGCTCTGCTTTAGACTTCAAATCTGTTTTTGTAGTAAAGCCTACCATTGGACTGAAGCCTGAGACAGACTTCACTCCCTGAAAATCTGAGGAGTTGTCCTTGTTTGGTGTCTTTCTGTGGGGAAGAGTATTGGCTGACAGATATCTCTGGGAGAGCTTTTTCAGGGGATAAATCTTCCTCTTCATTCCTGAAAAATTCTACTTATTTTTGGGGGGAATAAGTCATCAGAAATGGAAAATTAAACTGTTTAGAGACTGTTGATATGAATGACTGTTAGCCAGAGCTGCAGCTAGCCTATTTCCTTTGAAACCCCTGAAGAGGAGATTTTTTCCTTCATCTTCCCAGGCTTTGTTGCTCAATGGGTCTTTACCTGAGGATGAGCAGGAAGGGTCCTTTGAACTTTGTGAACGTGGAGCCTGCCCCGAAGAACAGCTGGTGAGCACATTGCTGTACCTACATTTCTCTGATCAAGCTGTCCTTTGCACTGTTCTGCCACAGGCATGTGTCTTGCACAATAATAACCATGGTATTTTACATTCAGATCATAATCCGAAGTCGCCTGGACCAGGCTGTGGAAGAAAATCAAGATCTAAAGGTTAGACAGGGACAGATGAAGGGGAGAGAGAGGTTTTGGGTCAAGAGATCTTTGCAGACTCTGTCCTACTTGATTTTTTTTGGGGGGAGGGAGGGGCAGGGACCGGGGGGGGGGATGACAACGCAACCGATGACATGGGGGATATATTGTGTTAGGGCTCCAACTCTGTTCCCATATTCTGCTGTGTGGGATCTCCATCCCTCCAGGAGCGTAGATATCTGCTTCCCTGAGACCATAATTCATTGACCCGGAGAGTACTCACAATACTTGGCTGGGAAGTGTTTATTGTATCCTTATTAGGAGTTAATAAAAGTTTGTGGGATAGCATCGGAAAAATACATGCTGTCTCCCCACTTTGCCTCAAGCCAATGCTGGTAAAGTCAGTTGCTGGTAGTCTAAGTGTTACTGGAATTTAAATGAGCCCTAAAATAGATTTTTCCTGCATGCTCTTGAAGCTGGAGAGATCCAGGTTGTACTAGCTTCTCAAAACTTTATGCAGGACAGCTGTTAAGTTTCTAGCCATGTTGGAATATAAACAATCTTTCAAGTAGGAAATAAGTGCAGCTAAGAAGAACCTGCCCTGACAAGCTTGCTTTAGTTCAGCTTTCTGCTGATGCTGGCTCTGGGACCAGTTCTGATGCTGGGAGAGAAGCATTTGATGTTGCCCTGAAGGACAGATTTGGGGGACTAGGCAATCATTTGCTCTCATGGCTTTAATAGCAGGGGCTTAGGGAGCTGCTCAACTGTTTTGTCATGTTTGTAACTCATTAAAATGGCTCAGGGTCTGACTTGCTCTTTGATCTGTGGGAAGAGGTGGGATGTGCTTTCTTCTGAAGCAGGTGTCTGTGTGGGGACAGAAAACACTGACTTTAGTTGATTCTGAAGGGGTGACAAGATGCCATTTAATCAAATTGTGTTGCATTTACAGAAGGAGCTATTGAAATACAAACAAGAAGCTCGAAACCTACAGGGAATAAAGGTGAGGAAAGGGGCACTTCATCAAATATAAATAGTAAAGCTTTAGAGTTGCAGCCCATGAGTGGGGCCAGCAGCAACCATACACCTCTGAGGAATCTCAGATTGTGGAGGGAGTTGTATTAGGGGACTTGGAGGTGGGGGATCCTATGGTCTGTTTCTGTCTCTGGGGAGAGACTGCAGTTAAGGCAGGCACAAGGAGTTAAGTCTCCTGAGTTCTGTTTCTATCTGTAGGACTGTGGTCAAATGTCCCCTCTTTTGTCTGTTTCCTCTACACAAAATACAAGGTGTAGGATGCCTGCTTGGTTCTTGTGACTTCTCTTCTTTTTTTGCCCCCCTCTGTCTTGGGGTACGCACAGTAGGATTGGCCCAGTGAACTCATTCTTGACAGCTGCATTCTTCAGCTGCAGCATTTTTCACAATTTTGGCTGCTGTTTGCTCAGTTTCTCCCTCTGGAGTTCTGAACACTAATAATTACTCCTGAGCACAGGTATTTTTAGAGCTGCCTGTTAGGTTCCTGTGAAGGAAGCAAACAGCAGTAGCTGTCCAAGGTAGAGCTCTCGGCTTCTGGGTAATACTGAGTGAAAAGTGCAGAATTAGTCCTGACTTTGGCCCCTTCAGAGAGGATTTCATTGCATAACTGTTCACACTGAGAGCTTAAATTTCCTTGTGTCCTTGGCTGACGTTGGCCTCTTTCTGCCCTCTGGATGCTGCAGATGCATGGCTGGAGGTACTAGCTGTAGGCCACTGAAAACACCCTCCAAAGACACTGCTGTTTTCTTCCGTAAGAGCAAATTGTCAGGCCACTTCTGGAGCAGGAAATTCAGGTGGAAGCACAGAAATCCCTCTGTCCCAGATGGCTGGAATGTTGGCAGGGAAATCAGTTTTGGGTAAGAGAAAGACAGAAGGGCTGAAAGCCCATTGGGCATGTCTATATACCTCCTGCTCTCTTGGGCCCTTGGCAACACTTCAGGCCTGTGAGTGGCCCCACTGTGTTATGGCCACTGGTTTAGGTCATTCACTTCCCAGGGAAGGGTCTTTGCCTCTGTCTTGCACCTTCCCACAGATAACATCTTTTCCTAGGATGCTTTACAGCAAAGGCTGCTTCAACAGGATGCTTCAGTTCTTCAGCTAAAGCAGGAACTGCTGAGAGCAAACATGGACAAGGAGGAATTGCACAACCAGAATGTGAGTCACTGTGCTGCTGAGGGTTAGATTATTTTAGAAGGAGGTTGGTGGCCCTGAGGGCTCCAGCAGCCAAGGGTGGAGGTGGTGGTTGCAGCAGAGTTCTTGGGGTTGTGGGATAGTGAATGACCAGTCAAAGGTCTCTGCATAGTAAAAACTGCACACAGTCTACTAGCCAGCTGTGAGACTCGCTGGAGTTTCCTGTTCTTCACTCCTACTTCCTGTCCTCCAAGACCTTCAGCTGAAACAGGGAGGGTCTCCCCATGATGATTTCAGTACAGTTGCATTCTGCCTTCCTCATTGTGCTCCCTGGGTTAGCAAGGGGCACAGGTGGAGCTGTCATGTACAGTGTCTTTCTGGAGAGAGAAGGGCAAGGAAGGAACTGTTGTGTCCAAAAGGTTGCTATTCTTAGATACCAGCTCCCTGTTCAACTCTGCAGATATTTGGTCTCAGGTCACCCTTTAGCACAAGGGGCAAAGAGGTTGTCATGAGCTCTCCGGGAATTATCTACCTTACACCTATGTGTTATTTCTGCAGGTTGACCTTCAGAGGAAGGTTGAAGAGAGAAACCAGCTACTGGCAGAATACAAAGTAATGGAACCTCTCTTCACTGGAAGCTTTGCTGGGGACAGCATCTGGTTGTTCTTCAGTTTTGTGAATGTGACTGCTGTTTCCCTGGCACTCAGTCACCTCTAGGAATGGCACTGTGCATAGTGAATAAGTTGCAATAGCCATGGATGTTTGTAATGAGATGGAGGGATCAGATGTTTTTTGTGTTCTGCCCAGAGCTTTTTATAGTAGATCTTTTATTGTCATGGTTTTTCTGTGCTGGCTTTCTAAGTATCTAACACTTGTGCAGAAGCCTATCAGGTTAGTTTGGGTCACCGGATTGTCCACTGATCCCTCGGGAATCTGTTTTCTCTGGGACAGTTGTCTGGCCTCAGTGGGTCTTTGCTGGGCAAGGGGACTCCCGGCAACAACAACCTGACTGATCTTTTTAAAAAAAAAAAAAAAAAAAAGCTTTGATAATCAGTTCTAACATCTAGCTAGAAGTACACACATTGTGGAGGAACCTGATCCTAGCAAATGACATAACCTCTGCCTTGGGAAGATGATTGTGAGCCTTACTCACTGTCCTGTTGATTCTCTTGATTACTGTGTTGCAGAAAGAACTGGGCCAGAAAGATCGGCATTTACAGCAGCATCAGACCAAACTGGATGAAATACTTAGGCAGCTTTCTGAAGCCAGCTACCAACAGGTATGGAGCAGGTGGGCTGCACTGATGCCCTGAGAGCTGGCACTTACCTTGGTGGCTCAGTTTGTGCTGACTCTTCTACTCGCCTCACAGGTGGATTTGGAGCGGGAGCTGGAGCACAGAGAGGCCCTGCTAGCTCACTGCATGAAGAGAGAAGCTGAAGAGGTATGGGAAGCCTTGGTCTACACATCAGACTGTTAGAGTGATGTTTATGTCCAGCACCCTCTAGCTACATATGTCCAGAAATCATCCACTTCATCCCAGAGGGGCCTGGCTCTGCAATCTCACTGTCAGTGCTCTAACCAGGGCAGCCAGACTCCACAAAGCATCCAACTTACCAAAGCTCTTAGCAATGAGCTCTCTGGCTTAGCCTCCTGTATCAAAATCCTAAGGGATGAAACAGTGAGGGGAGCACAGGAGTGAGTGGAAGCCAGAGACTCTTGGCTTTTAGCTTCAGCTCTGACACTGGCTAATGGTTAGACCAGGGCTTAGCTTCTTATCTCCTTTTCCTGTTGACCCTGGTATTGAGAACTTGGAACTGTCTTGGTGGAAAAGCACAGTGCCACTTGAACACTGATTGTGCTCACTAGAGCTTGCAGAGCCCTCTGTGATGTAGCAGCAAGCCCCTTTCTGTCTCTGCCTCTTTCTCCACCTGTATGTGAGGAATCATGTTTGTGCTCTGACCTATAGGACTGCCTGCACACTCCTTAGTGACTGCATTTACTTGGTAGAAGATGGGAGTTATATCACTGATGTGGAAAGTTTTCATGCCCTCTCATCATTTTGAAGTTTGCAAATTGGGATCTTTGGGGAGGTCCTAACACTTACATTCCTAGTGGCACACGCATCTTCCCCTGAACAGGTGATGGCTTACAGCAGTCATCGTGCACAGAGCAATGGCATCCTCCAGACAGCAGGAAAAAGAGCTGCTCCCACAGCCCACCATGGGGTAAGTGCACCTAAGGGATATTTTCCCAGCCAGATGCAGATGAGGGCTCCAGGTATCCTGAAAGCTATTATCTTATTAAGAGATTTCCCCTTTCTAAGATCTGTGGCTTTAGAGTTAGTCTGACTGACTTGTGGTCTCTTGGGCAGACAAATGACTTGCAACTGGTTCGTGATGCCCTTCGCAGCCTCAGGAACAGTTTCAGTGGCCACGATCCCCAGCACCACACCATTGACAGCCTGGAGCAGGGGATCTCCAGCCTGATGGAACGGCTGCACCGCATGGAAACACAGAAGAGGCAAGAGAGAAGGGTAAAGGCTTCCTAGGGCACTTGGCTCTTAACTTCTGCCCCTCTCACACAACCCAGAGCTAAGCAGCAATGAGAGCTCCAACTGGGAAGTGACACTTTGTTCTCACTCTTTTGGCTTTGCACCCTAGATCCGGGGAAAATCACCGGCAAGCAGAGCAACAAATGAGTGTAGAGACTCCTGGCCTCCCAAATCCAGTAAGTGCCTTTCAGCTCCTGCCCTCCCACTGCCAAATTCATTGCTCAGGCTTCCTGGCCAGAGTCCAGGGCATGGCATCCCCTTGGGAATCTGCCATCTCCAGCTTCTCACTCCCTTTACCAGAGCTCACTTTCCTACCTTTAGTCATTTGCTGTACAGATTAGACTTCACTGCAAAGAAAAGGGGGCAGAGACAATCTATGGCTGCTTGTTTGTAAAGCACCATCACAGTGGGATTCTGTCTGTGCCACTTCGGTAGTACTGCAGTATAAATAACTATGACAAACAATTACCCCTGGGATGAATAGGAAATGTGATGTTATTTCAGCTTTCCTGCTGGTTTGCACCATCTAGTGGACACAGATAACGTACAGTTGCCTCTTCCTCTGTTCCCCCCTCGAGTGTCTAGCTCCTTTCATATATGCGTAACAGCACAGCCCTTTCTGACACCACGTTTTCTGGCTCCAGCTCCACGTTTGCTTTTCATCATGAAGGCTGTTTTTTCCAACGTTGGTTGTAAACGTCACCTAGAAAGTCTATGGGGTTGTAGGAGACTATAGGTACTGGGGAAAGAGAGGCCCCCACCTTTCAGCTGCATTATAGTGTCCAGCAGCAGGATAGTCTGGAGGTACAAGATGCGGAGGAAGGTAGGAGAGGAACTCAGAAGCCTGAAGTGGGTTGTGGGGAGGATTTGCTGGGTTCTCCCTCCTCTCCCATAAATTGCAGTTTTTAGAGCAGCCAGTCATGTGTTCTTTGTGTGCAAACTGTATCTTTCCCTTTTTGCAGACTCCATCCCCTTCCACTGCAGCAGGAAAATTGAGTCTTGCAGTCACAGACGTAGAATGCCTTGGGTGTAAAGAGCTCTAAGAGGTGGCTCCAAAGACTTGTTAAATTAGAAAGCCTTTGAATGGGTGTCCATAATGCTTTCTGCATGCTAGGAATCTTAACACTGTAGAGTCACTATGCTTCAGCTTTTGGCACAGCACATTGCAGGGAAGCAGGAAACAAGGCAGTAGCCAGAGAGAGAGAAACACATATGAGCAAAGAAAAATCCATTCACAAACACCTATCCTGGCCAACTAGAATGGGAAGATGGTGAGGAAACAGATAACCTTTTGCTTTGATGATGATCAGTCACTTCATCCTGCTCTACCCATCTGCAAGTGAAGGCAAGTGGTAATGTAGGTGTACTGGATGGGGTACCGTTCAGTCATTTTCTCTTCCAGAAAGGTTCTCCTGTCACTGCTGAGGTAGTGAATAGAGTGTCTGTGGAGTAGATGGTGGCAGCAAGCCCCCCTGCGGATGGGACAGTAATCCTGGAGGACAGTGCTAGGCAAATCTTCCATGCTAACAACACAGTTGGATGGTGACCCTACTTAAAATGCAAAATTTTCCAGTAAGCATGGGAATAACTGGCCCTTCCCAACATGGGTGATTAGCCACCCTCTAAGAATCTCTTCCCATCACCAGGTTCTCTGCTGTGAAAGCAATTTTGCTGAGACCACCCCTTTTGTCTCCTACTGTGGCAAGAGACAGGCTGTTTCCCCCAATGATTGTGCTCTTTTCTTTGCAGAACTGCCTCATTCTCACAGTACACTCACGATGAGCACCAGTGCCTGCACCAGAGTGTTGTACTTCACTGACCGCTCCCTCACACCTTTCATGCTCAACATACCAAAGAGGTGAGGTCTGGCTTTGCCTTGCTGACACTGATATCGGAGGTGCTTATTTCCCTTAATGCATTAGTCTGATCTCTTCTGGGTATGGTCACCACTAGCAGAGGTTTGCTGTACATTAACTTGGGCATTGGATTTCATACCATTGTCCAGGGAAAATTGCCTAAAGCAGTCTCCTAGCTGATGCATTTGTTTTAGAGTCCTAAGAGATTCACCTGTTTTTTTTATTAACTTCCAAGAGCAAGAGAAAGCAGCCAAGCAGTTCTATTGTGGTATGTAGTGCAGAACGCTCCTGTCAAAACAACTATGGTTGTCAATGCAAAAGGGAAAGTGGAAAAAGGCTACTTTGAGGTGGTTCTTAGTATATCAGAAGGCAGTTCTTCTTCTGAAGAGGACCCTGGGGTTGACAGGTGTGTTCCTGGAGGGGCACGCTCTTCACATCCCTGTGGCCAGAGTGCCACATGCCTAGCTAGACTTTTGCTATGGCTCTGCGTGCCATGTAGTAACACTTGAGCTAAATCTGGTAATGGTGTACCATGTGATAGTGCCAAACTCTTCCCTTGCAGGTTAGGGGAGGTGACTCTGAAGGATTTTAAGGTAGCTATTGATCGTGAAGGAATCCACCGGTACCACTTCAAAGCCCTGGATCCAGAGTTTGGCACAGTCAAGGAGGAGGTAAGTGTGGAATTTAGCTATCAGACGCTTTGGGTTCAGTGTTACCACACAACCCTGGAGACCGTGCCCACCTCACTTCTAAACTAATGAAATCTTTGAACTTGCCCCTGAACAGACTGTCTATTTTCACAACGGTAGATTAAGCTCTTCTTGTAAGGTGCTAAAATGGGATGTTTTCATCCCCAGCCAGAGCAATTACATGAATGTGATTGCAATTGCCTGGGGGTTGCAGAGTGCCTTGGGCAAAGACAGTCTGTGATACAGCGTTGCTCAGGTGACACTGGGGAAAAAACCCAGACTATACTTCTAGACCTTCAAGTGGCTTTATAAAACCTGTTGCAATGAGAGACACTTCAGGCAAACGTGGTTTATTCAAAAAACATTCTCCTACTTTCTTCTAAAGGTTTTTCAGAGATAACTGTTTTTGTGGCATCTTTTCCTTTTGTGTACTGCATTACAGCCCTGTTTATGCTGAGGCTGGTGTTGGTGTGGATTGGATTCATTAAAGATTATTGGGATAGCTCCTGTTTCACAAATTAAGAGAAGTGCACAGGGTTACCCTCTCTGGGAACAGTCAGCTGACTAGGTAGCCATTCTGCAGAAACAGCTGGAGATTGTAGTCTGGATCAGAAGAGGCCTGTTTCCTGTCTTTATTTTACCTTTCCTGTCAAAAACTAGCCAATAATAATCTTGATGGTTACTAGTTAAAAAAGGGCCTAATCTGTTGTTTTTTACCCAAAACCTGAAAAGATTACTCAGACATGTGAATGATGGATGAGGTACATGTTCTCTGGGCTATGTAATGAAATCTGAGCTAGGATCTCTGACTTGATGCCTGCCTCTTATGCTACTTGCACTGTAGAAGAGTGGTGTCCAGACTCCAGACATGACTGGACTCCCTTTTTTTGTAGGTATTCCATGATGATGACATCATTCCTGGTTGGGAGGGGAAAATTGTGGCCTGGGTGGAAGAAGACCATGGGGAGAATTAATCAAGATTTTAAGTCTTGTCACTATGGAAACCTGTAGCTGGCTGCTGAGCTCAAAGAATGACCAAAAAGCATGTGTGCTGGAGGGAGTCCAATTCAAGCTGCCAAAAAAGAGGGCTTCTCTGCAAACAACGGGTAATGCATGTTGTGTGCATGGATGCCTGGCATCTGACTTTCCATGGGCAAATGCAGACAGTGTTCTGAGACTGAAATGACAGGTCTGTGGGAAAGAAACACCTTGCTTTGTCCTGTCAGCTAAACCCTGAAGGCCTTAATGATGTATTGCTCCATTCCCCTGCTTCTCCATTCCTGCAATATGTGCTGCAGACTATGATCTGGGCATTTCAAGTCTGGTTTCTTGTACATGGTATTACATAAATCTGCACTGATGGCAAAAATGTGAAGCTTTGCCTTCATGAGTCAGAAGAAGCTGCTAGATTATGTGAGCCGAATTTGACCAATTTTGGTCCTGAACTTGCAAGTGCTGCAGGAACAGAGTGAACTTTCTGGATATTCCAGAATGACAGTATAGAAATCTGACCTGGGGAGGGAAGACAGTCTTCTGGAAGTTTTACGCATGGTCTAAAGCAAAGATCACCAGCTTGATGAAGCTCCCTCTCTCCCAAACTCAAGCTTCCATTTCCTAGCCCTGCTTTTCCCACTTGCTCTCCAAAGCTGTACTCACTTCTGAGGCCCTCTGGGTTTGCTTTGCTGCCATGGGGACTGTGGGATCTTGGTGCTTGCTTATTTGCTGAAGGATTTCATTTGTGGAGGAGCTGGAATCAGCTGCTAAGTACCTTCCCTGAGGTACTTATAACCCCTCTCCTTGTTGAGCCTCTT